TAATCAAATGTCACTAGGAAACACGCAGAGTGATTTGGAAGACTCTACTTGCTCGTCTCCATGGAGCGTTATGGAGTGGTCTTTAAATTCTAACATGTTTTCCTGGCCTTCACATGTGGTAGCAGATGATCTTGTAATCTTAATAACGTTGGTTGAAAGATCCTTGTACATCCATTCCTGCTCTTACAGAAATGGTACGTAAGTTCTACAGAATCTCAGGATACAAAATTAATTGGCAGAAATCAGAAGCTTTGCCTATATCTCCAAGTTGTACATCATAAATGGTCACATATCTGAACTTCTGCCTCATGACACTATGAGTAAACTCAAATTAATGTGCATTACTTTACAGACTATGCTATCAGCCTTAATAATAAAACATATGACTTTATTTCATCACAAGAATTGCAATGTGAGGCTGAATCACCTTCTTGCCTCACTGTAAGGGTGTGTTCACCTTTGCACAAAAACCACAACAGCAATGAGATTAAACCTGTAATTAAAGTTAGACTAAACCAAGATCAGAACAGGGCCAAATCAAGTCTACATCAGGACTTAACCGGGTTCAAACCAGGACCAGAGCAGGACACGGAAGATTCCTAGACAGCAGAGTTTGCTCATGGCTTCAATAGATTACCTTTTATAGAGGAGGGTTTGTTGTCTCTGCTGTCAGTTTGTCTTCTTGGAAATGTCATGCTTTGCTCGAGATGTTCCACAGTATGTCATTAAACTTATACCTCCTGACAAGCACGTGAAGATACCAGACCAAGTTACAAGACAGATTTGTGGAGAACATTTTGGCAATTAAAACACTTGTAATTGAATAAATGCAAGACTGATAAGGTAAATACCATATAGTGGAACATTCTAGATAAATATGTAACAAGCAAATGGCATTCCCGTCACCAGAAAAAGTTACAGTGTGCCCCTTTAAGATCCTGGTGCGAATGATGTTTTCATTTGCTCCAGTTAGGTTACTCCAGACTTGGGGAAGTGGTGGATTGGTGAAAAGTTTCCTTATTTTTTTTAATATATGATAAGTTATTATATATTATCAATAAGACACAATAATATTTACATATCTTTCTTTAGTGTAGGACCAAGTCAAACATTATAAAAGGTACAGTAAATGCACTTCACTAGTGCAAGGCTACTGCAGTGAGATAAAGTCTGCACACTTACTCCCAAACTGCTTTTAAAGAATGTCAGGTCATGTTGACCACTGATCTTGAAACGTTGTCATGTTGGTCATGTATATGTGTGTGTGTTTTGAGCTTTATATGTTTCCCAGTCAGAGGGGTCACTATAAAGATTGAGCAAAGTCGAGCTGATCCATGACAGATGTCTGCATTTTACACCAAATGTTTTTTAGTGGAGCATGTTTATCAATAATATTGAGTACTTCAGAATCAAAATATTTTCATGTATCCTCTGCATAACTTTTAAGATGACATCTATCCCACTTTATATTTACCAGGTCATTTATAACTACATCTGTGTTCATTTTCTTAGTCTGTCTCATTGTAATATATCTAGGGGAACTATTTAATTTTCCAAACACAGAAAATAATAAAATGATCACTAAAGCAGTCTGCAACTCCTGAGAAAGGCATTCTTCCTGAGTGAGTAACTAGTATCCAGTAGGAAGAGAAGATGAGTGCTGATCTGCTCTGGTAGGTTCAGTTATAATAAGCTGAGGAAGATTAACCCTGTTCACTAGATTCCTTTCACTGGAGGAGGAACTGTGAAGCCAAGCCAGTTATCACTGAAGTCACCCAAATCATTTCATTTTGGTTTTGGAGTGAGTCAAGTGTACAGAGAAACATGTTTTAAGTAGATCCATTCTGGAAACAGCTTCAGTGTCTGTTCTTCACCTGACATCACATAACAATGATTTACCAGATGTAGTTTTTAGAACAGCTCGGCATTTCTTAAACATTTGTCCACTAGAGGGAGCCATTAGTCCATCTGCAATTTTAAAATAATTTAGGAGCCTCATACAAATGCAAACAATTTCAATGTAATTACCGATCTGTGGAGAGGCAAGCTCAGTGGTATAAGAACGTATTTTTTCAAAGCATTTCTGAGCAATAAAACACGTGTAAATGAATAAATGCCTGATAAGTTTAATGCCATAATGTGGAGCATTCCAAACAAAATGGAAAGGCCTTGCTTCATTTGAAAACTCACAACCTCTAGCGCTGATTCACGTATAGCTGCAGGTCCTGGGGTTTAGATGAGGACTCAGTTCAAAGCCCTTTTTTTTTTTTTTTTGAATTTTCATCTTTTAGCTGTTGGTACTGGCAACATAAATGTGAGACTCATGTGAGGCATGTTAGAATTATTATCAAAAAAAGCTGTATTTGTATTTTAAACATGTCTATCTTATATCTGGAGTAGAGTTGCCAAAAGTACAAAAAAATCACATCCTAAAACTAGTACTGAAACTAAATATTAATTTGAAATGGTGTCAATTCTAAAAAAGTCACATTCACAGGACAGAAATGAACCTACTGTAAGCAGCTTTAGAATGATATCGAGCTGTATCAGAACTATTAACATTACTATTTACAAGACTAGGACATGTTCGAGGACCACTATGGAACCTACCTGGACCACTGAGGACTACACAGATATAAGGCCACATGCCAATATAAAAGAAAGCAATTTCTTTGAGTATTCAGTCTATTCCTAAGTATCAAAATCAAGCTTGAAATTTTGGTATTGCAACTAAACACTAGTCTAGAAACACAGGTCAGGTTTGTGTAGTTTAAAAGCTTACAGTTCCTACTATATACTGAGATATGTTAGTAGTATGTTTAATGTTATGTAATGTTTCACTTTTTTTTTGTTTTTGTTTCCAATGTGAGCTACCAGCCAAATTCCACAGAAGTGGTATCTTGGGGCTGCTCAACTCCTTTCACTGGTTAAATTATCAAAAATCTATTGGCTGTTTTTACATTGTTGTAGATTATATGTGCTGATGTCCCTCTCTATCAATTCTCTACTATTTGCATAAGAAGTATCTCAAATGAAAAGCCACAAATGTTGAATCTGATCATCTGTTTCATCATATTTTAATAGCATTGCCCATTATCTGGTTATATTTACAGCACGAAACATTAACAGATTAACAAGAATAAGTTAGTCAGTTGAATCATATATAAAACTGAAAATATAAACAAAATTGTGTGCATTGTGCCATCATGGAAACCGCTCAACATTCCACCAAAGTATCAATAAAGCAACAATGGCAACGGATTATTCAGAATAGCTGTCAGAATAGGATTTTAGGAAATGTCATTAATCAAAAGTAAAAAATATAATTCTAAAAAAAGTGACACAATAAAAAAACATGTTAACAAACTAAGGTATTTCATTTGTGGAGTGTAGTTTGAAGAGCTCATAAAAACTAGTATTGAGCATTTAGACAATTAAAGCTCTAACAAAAATACAATTTACAAGTATAAAACGAAGCAGCAGTGACGTCATAAAAGTTTGAAAAGTAAATTGAAGGCATTTAATCAGTTTAATCAGTGGTCTCAGTGTGAGGGGAAACAGTGTATTGTGTCTATCTGACTCCTTGCTGACTCTGGTGTCCGGTCTATGAACTGCAGACTGATGTTTTTTTCGGGGCAGAGCAGCGTCCTTGTGATGGGCTTCACCTCCGAGCCAGCAGCGTCCGGTCTGACCTCAAACCGCTGGATCAACTTCAACATGGAACACAAAAGAAGAAGAGAGATAAATTAGTTAAAGTTGAAAATACCAAAAATTTGTTGCAGTGTGTGCATCTAAATATGTGGACAATGTTTTATTGTTCACTTATCAGGAGGTGCCGTTATCCTGTGCTCAGACAGGAGCTCCTAATCCTCCTCAAATATTCTGAAGAATTCAAAGTACTGTGCAGTGTGGTGCCGGCAGAGGTCTCTGGAGCCCCGGAGCCTTTTTCCTGTTATCACATGAACACGTGGTCTCGCACATGTAGATTTCAACGCCAGCAGCAAATCCACTCCAACTGTGTAGTCACATCTGGACTGGGTCAAATCTGAGTGAGGCCATAGCATGCTAGCTGTAATCATTACAGTGACAGCAAAACTTCACTTTGAAAGGTGAAAAGACCTTATAAACTCATCATGGGGAATAATTAGGATGCTCTGAATTCATAAGATAATTGAGGAATAACTTTAAACCACTGCAAATTTACTAGAGAGTACTATATTAATATTAATATTATAATTGGCTGTCTATAAACTGTGATTGCTACTATCTGTTTTCTTGTTTTATTTTTCCCCTTGTGTAAACTGTTCTACTCACCCTGGTGAGCAGCAGGTACATCTCCAGCTCAGCAATTCGTCTTCCCAGACAGCCCCTGGTCCCAAACCCAAATGGGATGGATCCAAACGGGTGCATCTGGGACTTGTGCTCTGACCCACGGAGCCAGCGCTGGGGCTGGAAGGACTGAGGGTTGGGGAAGATGCGCTCATCGTAGGAGGAAGCAAAGTGACAGAGGTGGAACAGGGTCTGAAAAACATAGGGCGCTATAATAAGGACAGGTACATAAAGGTGTACTGTGTCTACAACCTGCAATTTGACCTAGTAGCATCAACTGGCCAAAGTCAGTGGAAAAGTAAGTCTAATCTCATACTATGGAACATTCCACAGAACATCCCTAATTACATTATAATTAGGGATGGGCAGCCAAATGCCAAAATATGAATGGTTTAATAATAATTTAATAATCATGTTTTTCTCAGAGTCAGATTACGATTTGATAACAATTTATGTTTTCTTAGTATCATTAAACGATAACTAAAGCTATCTGCAGTAAAATGTAACTGTTTACTTCAAAAACTACTTCTAAAAGTCATCACAAGGTGCAACAGAGCATTTTGAGCTTTGGAGATGTAGACATAATATATAATAATTAACAAAATAAATAATAATTAATAATAAAGGGTTACTCAAACGTGTGAATGAAACAAAACACAACTCCAGGTCTGTTTTTGACGAGGTAACAACATTAAACTAAAATCTCACAAGAGTCCATTTAGCATAATATAGAATGTTTAAACCCAGATTTTAAAAAGACTCACATTTTTTGGGAACAAATAATCTCCAACAATCATTTCTTTGTCCACAGAGAGACGGGCGTTGCCGGGAATGCTTGGATACATCCTAGAACACAAAGTACTCATAAAAACTACAGTGTAGCAGTGCACTGTTCCAGTCAATAGTTAACAGTTAAATTGCAGATTTGTTGAGGTGATTTCTGGTTAATTTTTCTCTGGAATTATTCAGCCTTTCCATGTGGAACAAAACCTGGCACGGTGGACTGAGGTGAACAGCGTCCCGCTCAGTGGTCACAAGTTGCAGCTGAAGCTTGCTCCTCCTAAAGTCCAGCACCATCTCTTTGGTCTTTGCTGTGTTCAGTTGAAAGTGGTTAGAACCACACCACACCACAAAGTCCTCACTGAGCTGTCTGTACACCCCTTCATCACCGTTCCTGGTACACCCCACAATGGCTGTCAGAGTGTTGTCAGAGTACTTCTGCATATGACACAGCTCTGAGCTGTATCTGCGCGTACAGGGTAAACAGAACTTGTAACAGTACAGTCCCCTGTGGAGCTCTGGTGTTGCAGACAACTGTGTCAGACGTACTGAGGTCTCCCGGTGAGATCATCTGTAATCCAACTAACCCGAGAAGAATCCACGCCTATCTTGATTAGTATGTTTTTGAGCAGCAGAGGTTGGATGGTGTTAAATGCCCCGGACAAGTCAAAAAAGGTCATCCTCACAGCACAACTGCCTTTATTAAGATGAGAGAGGGAACTATGGAGCAGGTAGAGCACGGCATCATCCACTCCCACGTTCTCCCCATAAGCAAACTGCAGAGGGTCGAGGCTGAGCCGATGTGGGGTCTGAGCTGGTGGTGGAGCACCAGTCATTCTATTGTCTTCATCACATGTGATGTCAGGGCAACTGGCCTGTTGTCACTCAGCTCCTTGGGCTGAGGCTTTTTCGGGACAGGGACAATACAGGATGTCTTCCACTGAGTAGGGACCTTCCCCCAGATGTAGACCCATGTTAAATATATACGGCAAAGGCTCCAGCTCAGCAGCACAAGCCTTCAGGAGTCTTGGAGATTTTCCATCTGGCCCTGCTGCTTTACTAGCACAGATTATTCTAAGATGACTAGTCACCTGATTTGCTCTGATGCTCTCTGTGGGGCAGCTGTGTGACGATACCAGATCAGAAGACTAAGTACTACTTCGTTTACTATTGTACTGTCTTATGTATACACTTGCCTGCATGCACTTTGGTCAGCTGTGGTTGTTTTAAATGTGCTTTATTAAATTTGTCATTGACATTGACTTAAATGTGTAGCACATGTTCTATCCCACCGAACTCAGTAATAATTAGAATAATGCATTTTAAATGAGTAGCACTCTCACCGTAGTGTCTCCTTGATGACAGCCTTCATAAAGGGCATCTGAGCCGTATCGTCACTGGTGGGTGTCCGGCCCCCGGGACAGACCTGACTCACCTCCTGATACAGCTGCTCCTGGATCTCTGGCTCTCGGGCCAAAAGGTACAGGGCCCAGCACATAGTGTTCGACGTCTGACACAGACAAGACTAGGGTTGTTAAAAGTATTGAAACTCCAATTGATACTTTGCAGCTGATGTCATCAACATTCCCTGGGGGTGTGATGATTGGGTCTGGGTGTGATCTTGAATCTAAATAGTTTTAACATAATATGACCAGAAAGAATTGACTTAGTTGGAACTACAACAAGTGAGATGATTTGCACTGTTAAACAAGTCAGTTACTCAACATTTTCTATTGAAAATCACGCCTAAAAACAAATAAATAGAACTCCTGAAAAAGTGTATTTTAAATCCACTTGGGTTTTTTTCTTAAATTTTCAGATAATCTTAATTTTATTTTTGACAGTGTTTGCAGCACTGTGTTACCATGGTAACATTCCACCATTAGAGATACATGGACACACCCTCAGTATGATACTGCAAAGTAATAAGAGCTACAATATACAATAGCTGTTTTTTCCTGACTAGTAGAAATAAAAGTCACAGCTTTATGATCCAATTCTGAAAATTCTGAAAATACATTTTGTTGCTGAAATGCATGCTGGGTAATGTAGCTTTCACTCACGGTGTCGATTCCGGCCAGCAGCAGCTCAGTGACGCTGCCAAGGATCTCCTCCACTGTCATCCTGTCACTGAGCAGCAGGTGGGTCAGATAAGCGCCATCTATGTTCTGGTCCAAATCCACTTTATGCTCTAGCTCACTGATTTTCTTCTGAATTAGCTCCCCAGCTTTAAAACACAACATCAACAATGTAAGTTACCCTTTAACCAAATATATGACTTACTAAACAGCTTTCTACCATGCGTCTTATGTAAAGCACAGAAAGACAGAGCATCAAAAACAAATCTGAAACTAATTCCACTTTTTAATATGTTTTTGTTGTTTTTGATGAGGCAACATTACAAAATAGATGGGAAAATAGCGTAATATATGCCATTCACCTAATTATTTATCTTTTAACATTGTATTTTCTTCCAGTATCTCAGCCTTTATGATGGCTCTAGCACAATCTAAATTGCCCATCCTAAACCTACTCACAGACTTTGAAGAGGTAGTCCCATGCCTCCACAAACTTCCAGTAGGGGGGCATGTAGGGCCAGAGGGGGCGCGGGATGATCATGACCACCTGAGACAATCGCAGCATCTCGGCCACAGAGAAGATGAAGTGCTGGGTCTCCTCTGGGATGGTCTCCTCCATACAGCCCATTCTGGTCTCAAACAGCACCGAGCAAATGCCTGCACAACCACACAAAGGCATTTTGGTTGTTATTAAAGGAGCTTAGAGGAGTTAAGCTTTTTGGGGGAATTTAGTATTAAAGTGGACATATTATGCAAAATTTACTTTTTAGAGCTTTTAATCATATTACAGTTGTTTCCTTTCTCATTTACCCTCTTGAAATTGTATTTAGCCCGAGTGATGCATGTTTGGGTAATCTTTATTCTCCAGTATTCAACACATCATTGGTCCGATCTATCCCTGTTTCTATCGCCATTTATTTTCTTTATTGGTGATACAGACAGGATTCAGTAGCAATATATAATCCCTTTTCTACACATGAAAAAAAAATCTGCTACTCGCTAGTATGATGGGCAGCTATCCCTTGGAGATGCAGACAGCTGCGGGGCTCTTTCTTGTGATGAAGTTTACAGCGATGACGGTTCCCATTGTGCATTTTAATTTTTTAACACGAAAGTTAACAGACTTGTTTCTTTTATTATGTTGTTTTACATGAATATTGCGATGTCTAATGTCCAAAACATCACTATGATCCACGGGTGATAGATTCTGGAACACACCTCAACCTTCGCTCCTGCTAACCACAACTTATCTCAACCACGTCTTCAATTACCCAGAAGAGTCCCTGCCTTTTCTTCTTCATAGTAAATAGGAGATCTTCATTTGCATGTTTTTATTGTTGAAAAAAGATGGTATGACCATTTTAAACCTCACATATGTGACCGGGAGTGTGATTTTTATTTTATTTTTTTAATAGACACAAGTGCAGAAAAGTAGGTGGGTATAGGGCAGTAGGTGACAATAGATATTGAATCAATTCAACTGAGTATGTTAATAACAAGCTCATAAAAGTTATTTTACTATTTTTCAAGCCATTTTAGAAAATATGCCAACCCCCATCACTCTTCCTGAAAGCAGTCAGAAAACGTGGAGCGTCATGGTGACTATTTGAATGGAAGTGGTGGAAGCGACACATCAGTGAAACATCATGTTTTTTCATTATCTGTAAGCCATAAGAAACAAACTCTAAGAATCTTCACTCTACATGTCATGAGTCTACATAATATATGGGTTTCACTTTCTGAGATGAGTGATAAAACTTTTTCATATTTTAATTATCTGTGATGGGCTAGAATTGTCCAGCACTACTCTGCCACTACTGAAAACTAAAAAAAACAATTTTGCTATAATGTACAATACTGTACATTTAGAATATTTTCTATTTAATACAGGCCTACATATCGTTGAGCCATACAAAAAATCCTTACTTTCAAAAGCAAACTTGTAGAGCTCGTCAACTAGAGTGTGGACCACTGGCTCCTGCCCCCCACTGGTGTCTCTGAGCCATGACAGTTTGTGGATGAAGTCCGTCACCACATCATTCAGGGTGGCTGTGTAGGAGGACACGTGTTTGGGCTTTAACAGTCGCGGGTTCAGAATACTGCGAATGTGAAGCCATTTTTCCCCCATCCTGCAAAAGCCAAAGAGACTAAACGCACATAACCAATACACCATGAAACACTAGGAAAAGAATTGATACTCAGTACCGATACAGATATCACAATGATAATAAAAAAAAACAAAAAAAAAACACTTTCTCTAGACAAAAGAACAAAAGAATGTGATTTTCATTCAGTTGTAGTACCTTCATGTGGTCTTATATCTGTGTAATCCCTGGCCCAGGTAGGTTCCATAGTGGTCCATGTTCTGATACAGCTCAAGATCATTCTAGAACTATTCAGGAAAGGTTCATTTCTGTCCTGTGAATGTGACTTTTTTGTATCAATACCTGCTTAAGTATCTAGTTTTGATATTTTTACAGTTTTAGTATTGATTATCTGATTTTCAACCCTACTATAAACCAGGTATTATGGCTGTGCAGTATATTGGAATTATTCAGTTAACAGAATGTCCTCAGCAAAGAACAAAGCTGTCTGATAGAAAAATCCCATTGTAGCTGTAGTTTAGACTTCTACAAACATGTTCTGAAATGCATAGGCTCAGTTCTACTTCAATCCTGGCTTAGTCCTCGTTGTATTCACTCGGTTATGGATCCGTAGGCCTTGCCCCTCTGTTCTCTATAGTTCCTCCAGTGGGGCATATCTACACCTGGTTCACTCCTGGTTCAGTCAGGCTTTAATACTGGTTTAGTCGTGGTCTAGTCATGGTTCAGTCATAATCTAGTCTTGGTTTAGACCTGGTTTACACATGGTCCAGTACTGGTTCAGTCCTAATCTAGTGCTGGTATAGACCTGATTAGCCCTGGCTGTACTCACTCGCTCAGCGGTCCGTAGGCTTTGTTCCTGAGCTCTCTGTAGCTCCTCCAGTGGGGCATATCTGTTCGAACTGGGGTCCGTCCGTCCTGTCTCAGAACTTGCTCTATCAGCTCTGCGCTTGCCACATTAACCAAAAGCATAGGACCAAAGTTGGACTTCCATAAAGGACCCCAGACTTTACTTTGTTCAATCTGTGGGTGGACAAGAATATTTTACAATCATAAATAACAGCTCCGTAACTCATTAGGGCAGTAACTAATTTGTCTTATTTTATTTTAGTTTAAAGGAAATAAATGCTATTTTCAGTCTCTGAACATTGGTATACTTTTATTTACAAAGTTCTGCTCTGACTTCTGCACAAAAACAAAGTGAACAATATCACTCAACAAGCTTATCATATCAGCGGTGGTGGAGGAAGTACTCAGTTTTGATACTTAAATGTGCACTATGTAACTTTTTGTTTGGAGTCAATCACCTGCTTGTTTCTGTGGATATGTCATTGCTCTGCCTGGAATGTTCCTTCAATGTTAAACAGCTCTACCTTATATTTATTCGATTACAGGTGGTCTTACAGCTCAAAAATACCCAGAAAACGACGGTGAGCAAATTTGCCTCTCCACAGATCTGAGCTTCGTCTGGTTTGGTCTCCATTAAGACAGAAAGGTTACACAGTGCAACTTTAAGTAAAAGTACAGATACCAGAGCAAAAAAATACTCAAGTAAAAGTAACACATGAAAAACTGACTTAAGTAAAAGTATTCAAGCACCTGTTTAGAAATGTAAGTAAGGAGTAAAAACTAAAAATTAATTAATTAAGCTTCAAATTTGGTGTTTTTGATCAAAATTTGTGCTGAATTTTGTTCAGCAGAAATTATTAAATCAATTGTTTTTCCTGTTTTTATATTTGTATTTTTATTTACTCAAATTATGAAAGTGCTAAAAATAAACCCTCTGACTTTTCAGCAGGTCTCAAAAAAAAACTCTTACTTTTCAGTCCTGTTCTACGGGGACCAAAAATGAGTAATTAGATTACAGTTACTTAGTCTAGTAACTTTTAGTTACTTTTTCCATGACAAAAATATGTGTCATCCAGAACTATCACCTCAGTATTTGAGTCTGGCTCTGGGGACTTCCAGCAAGAGTTGGTTGTTTGACCTTAATGATCTCTTTGAACTGTGAACAGACAGCAATTCAGTCAAATAGGAAGGAGCAAGGCCGGTAAGAGCTTTAAAAACAAACAATACAATTTTACAATCAACTCTAAAAGAAACCAATGGAGAGATAAGAGGACTGGGGTGACGTGCAGGTGACATATGGGGGTGTTGGTTAATAACGTTTGGCAGTGTTCAGCATGACCTGGAGAGGTTTGAGGGCGGACTGGGACACACCCACACACACACACATAAAGGACCTTACAGTAGTCTATTCTTGAGCTGATAAAAGCATGAATAGTCTTGTCAAAGTCAGTGTGTCACCTTTGATAAAAGACTTCTAATGTAACCATGTGATCTGTTTATCAAACTTGTTATCAAGTTATTAAATTATTATGAAAAATGCCTCAGAAGTTCCTTAGAGTTGATTTTAACTTTGACAATAACCAACCAAAACCCCAAAAAGAAGAATCATCAAATAAAATAGTAAATTTTATTTGGTACATCTGTTTTGTCATCATTTAGATGGAGGAAATTCTGTCCCAACCACATCTGTATGTCTATAACACAGTCACTTACAGGTTTAAGAGCATCACTTTTGTTTGGACAAACAGGTAAATAAATCTACAGGTCATCTGCATAACAATGAAAAGCTAGTCTTTGCCTCACAATACTTGACCCCAGCGGCAACATGTCCAAAGAAAATAACATGAGCCCCAGAATGAAGCCCTGGGGCACTCAACAGAACAGGGAGGCAACTGAGGAGAACATGTCACTGATCCTGACAGAAAACATTCTATTTGTCACATACGTACCAACCAAGTACAGAGCCACAAATGTCGACATCATTATTAAGGTGAGACAAGAGAATTGAATGGTCAACTGTGTCAAAAGGTCATCATGTGCCACATTGGGGCACCAGTCGTAAAAACGTTGTGTTCTTAGGCAAAGCACTTCACCCACATTGCCTAGTATGAAAGTGATGTGTGCGTGAGTGACGGTGGTGGTCGCAGGGACCAATGGTGTAGATTGACAGCCTTGCTTTCGTCAGTCTGCCCCAGGCCAGCTGTGGTGCTTACCACCACCAGGTGTGGAGTGAATGAATAATGCTCTGTAAAGTGTCTTTGAGTGTCCAATAAAGCGCTATATAAAACTGATGCATTATTATTATTATTAATTTATTATTAAAAGCCGCTGTTAAGTTGAACATAATGAAAACCACAGGGTACTTGGCATCAGCAGACTGGGCAATGTCATTGTGCACTTTCAGCAGTGCAGACTTTGAACCTCTGACCTGAACCCAGGCTGAAATTTCTCAAGGACAGGGTTGCTTTCTAAAAACAGTTGCAATTGCATAAAAACAACTTCCTCAAGAACCTGTGAAATAAAAGACAAATTGGAAATAAGTCTAAAATTTTATAAAACATTAGGATCCAGATGTTGCATTTGAGAAGGGGTTTCACTGCAGCATGTTTAAGGGACTCGGGTATACATCCTGAGCTCAGACAAGTGTTAATAAGGAAGAACAATGAGAAAGGTTCAAACTGGTCGAACACTGTAAAGTGTAAAGCACCAAGAGTCTTGACTGGACAGATACTGATGCTGCTCAGTCATCTCACAGACTCCACTTTGTCAACAAAGAAATGTAAAAAGTCCTCACAGGTGGAAAAAGAAGCATCAATCAAAGAGGTGTGTGAATTCACAACCGAGTTAATAGTACTGAACAACACACAGGGGCAGTGATCATTACTGCAGATCATTTCACACAGATATTGGCATTTGGCCTCTGTCATAGCTCTCTGATACTGAGCAAGACTGTCCTAAAAACATACCCAGACACACGTCGGTCGGTAGCATGCAGGGGTGAAAACTTCAAAAATAATGGGCAAATTATCTGAAATGGGGGTGGTAGATCAACGAGCAACAGAGAGCCCAGGGGAAATAATCAAGTCTAATGTATGCCATGGATTGTGTGAACCCACAGACTGATTTGAGTCAAAAGAGAACAAAAGTCGTTTAAAGTCGGTGGCCAGCTGTTCAGATGGGCAGCAGACATAAATGTTGAAATCCCCACAAATCAAGAGTTGTTCAAACTTGGGGGCTACCTCTGCCAAAATGTACCTGGATGGACGGTAGACAAGAGCACAAAGAATGGGGCTGACATTAAACATGACCATCTCTAGCATTTATTCATTAGGGGTGTTCCTATTGCTCAAAAATACAATAATTTTCTCTGTGAGTAGGGACACCTCTCCACAGATCTGTCCTGTAATGTAGCCTATAGTTCTCTCCTTGAGATTGATCTCTACCGTGGAACATTCGAGATAAAGAAAAAACATCACCAAGTTGCATATTGCAGCTTTAATGTGTGATAGCATTTATTTATTGACACATTTATAGTTTATTCACTATTTAATTTAACACTTTCCAATATTTAGTCTTGTATTTATTTATTAATTAATAAATAAATTAATTAATTAATAATTACGTCATTTTTGGTCCTCCATCCTGTTCAAAAATGCAGTGGACAGTGCAAAAAGTGCAAAAATATGCAAAAATTTTTAACTTGATTGAATTGACAAGTAAAACTACCAATGGAACAAGTACATTTCCCCCCCTCGATTCAAGCTAAATGAGATTTAGTTTCTTATTTTAAGTGCAAAGAGTTGTTATTTTTCTAACGTTTTGTGTGACAATATGTACTTTTACATTTTAAGTACAGGTGCACATAATCTTGACTCTCGTTCCATTGGTAGATATTTGATTTTAGTGAAATAAAATCAAGATAGCATTTTGTTCCTTCAGGTCATTTTAACTATTAGGAAGTTTAGGTAAGATTTTAGTTTTTGCAGGGGAGTAGAAAGTACAGATAGGCTATTGCTCTTAAATGTAGTGAAGTAAAAGGAAAATGTTTAGCTTAAGTACAGTACTACTTTTACACCACTGTACATCAGTAGCCTATAGAAGCATTAACTTACTTGAAATTGATGTGCATGTCGAAAATATCCCTTTACGAACAGCCAGTATAACGTGCTCATTTGCGAGGGTCCGGGTAAGTCGTCTATGGTCTTCTGTTTGGCCTGGTTTCCCATGACGGAAGTGGTCGTGGACGCATTTTGACGCAGAAAACCCACCCCGAGAGCTCGGGTCTTCATAGCCGGGATCAGTGTCCTCTGCCCGGCTTGGAGTAGTCCGGCGCAGCGGTGGTGCCACGGTCGTGCAAGCAAACACTTCCAGAGCATGACTGAAGGAGTTTTCCCCGCTATTTCTCGCGATGTTGGGATAAAATAGGGCTTCGTTTGGAGAAAAAGGAAGCAAACAAGCTTTTATAGCGAGGAGAGCCGAGTTTGAACTAGAGAGACACAATGTTTTTAATTTGAGAGAAAGACCATGAGAGGGAGATAGAGAGAATACTGTATGTGCCAACTAATTCTACTTCTGGTTTCATATGGTTTCTGACGCTTTCAGTGATTTACATAAAAAATGAAAAAATCCATGCCTGACTTAAGAAATCGCAACTTTTCACCTAAATGATCGCGGTTAATGTTTAGCTCCAATTTAAATATCCAAACTTGACTCCACCACTGAGCCTCTGCAGACCTCCGAGTCATTTATAAAACACATGACCAACTAATGGAATTCAAAGGGCATATATATCTATAGGGGAGACCGGGGCATGTTGTCACACTTTTTTCATTCCCATCTCTGTCTCTGATATCGAACACAACAGGTATTTAGTATGTATACCAAATGAAAGAGCAACATCTCAGCTAATTTGAGTCTCCTTATCATTCTATCTCTGTCTTGTGCAGAGGTGGGATCAAGATGTTATTTTGCAAGTATCAAGTAAGTTTCAAATCTTTGATCTCAAGTCTGAGTCAAGTCCCAAGTCAAATACAGGTAAGTCCAATTCGAGTCACGAGTCACGGGCTCATAAGTCCAAGTCAAGTCCAAGTCGTTTGCTTTGAGCTTCAAGTCATTTCAAGTCTTTAAACCAAAGTACCAAATATAGCTTAGATTTGAGCAGTTTATATGAATTTCAAACTAAACTTACCTTAAAAAGCTTTAAAAAGACATGGTATATTTATATACGAGTATTTTTATATATGAGTTGTAGAATTGCTCATTTTTCCTTTTTAAATGTCTTGTCAAGATCTTAGTGCAAATCATTACGATCAGAATAGAAAGTCTTCAAGTCACAGGGCTCAAGTCCAAGTGAAGTCCCAAGTCATTGAGTCGAGTCCCAAGTCTTAGTCTATTTTATCAAGTCAAGCCTCAAGTCATAAAAATAGTGACTCAAGTCTAACTCGAGTCCAAGTTACGACTTGTAAGTCCCCACCTCATGTCCCCACGCATTAAGAATTCAAACATGAGGTTGGACAGGGTAAGCACATAAATTATCAATAATTTTAAAAACTCAAAATTAATTATATTTTTATGAGAATTGTGTTTTTAATCTTAGGGATATACAATAATTGTTTGAAATTAAAAAAAATTAAGCTTTTTTTGTGCATTATTCTTTCATTGGCCCCTCAGACGACCACCAACACTGACTCAACACTTTCATACTAAGCAATGCCGCTGTTTTGCCTAATGACACACTGACAGTGTTTGCCCGACTGTGACACCGCACTAACCAGGCCCAGCCCTGCTTAGCTTCTGAGTGCAGATGAAATCAGGCTTTGACAAGCTGGAATGAAACTACCACTTGAGGATTACACAAGATGAACAGAGCATTTTGAACTTTTGAGATTTAGACATCCTAATAATAAAGGATTACCTAAACATGTGTGAATGAAACAAAACAGAACTGCAGGTTTGTTTTTGCAGAATAAACAAGATTCATTCCAACATGACTAAAAGATCACAAGTCAATATTACGTAATATTGGACTTGTAATATGCCCAAGTTGTCAAATCACGCCCAAGTCAAAATGAAAGAATAGGCTCACAACTCCTTAAAAGTAAAATCTTTATTTCCTACAAATTAAATTCAGCTATTTTACATTTGATCCTCCCACATTCACAGTGATCTGCTGCAGCGTCAATGCAACACGTCAATGCACAATGACACAGAATAACAAAGAATATTATAAGGCGGCTTTAGATAGGCACAATTAAGACTCACAGTGAGATCCAAGCATACAACCTGCACTGTTTGCCTGGAGATTCAAAATACATGCAACTTATATATGAAGAAATGTCTGCATAGATACAAAGAGGATTTAAATTAATTCAAGTTTTGCAGGTTTAAAGCTACAAAGCATTAGCTGGTCAAATATTTAAAGGGCCCATATTACGCTATTTTCTGACCTGTGTTATAATGTTGTTTCTTCATCAAAACCCCAGAGTTTTGTTTTGTTCTTCTCTCAAACTGAAAAACAGTTGACATCATGTGGCAATACAGTAAGTGCTCCACTGTATTTTTAAACTCCATATCTTCAGTAGAATCATTTGGATGATTTCAGCATCCAAACAATCTCTAGTGAAAAGGTAAAAGGTAGTTAACATGAAAACTACCACTACATGACATCACAAGGTGGAAAAGAGCATTTTGAGTTTTGGGGATGCAGACAGACTAATAATCCAGGATTACTCAAACATGTGATGTGAATGAAACAAAACACAACTCAGGGTGTGTTTATGATGAAGAAACGTATCATTATAACATGGCTTAAATCTCACAAGAGTCAGTTTTGTGTAGTATAGGACCTTTAACTAAGGCAGTGGTTCTCAAATGGTTTGGGTTGTGTGCATGGCATTCTCAAATTTGATGTCTTGTAGCTCAGGGGGGGAATTCTGGAGGTTCCTTTGTCAGCAGGTTAGGGCTCTGGCAAGACAGGTTCAGTATCTTATCGACAGAACACACTGGGCTACCTTTGGACTCAAATGGACACATATATAGGGTCTTGGCTTTATGATTTTTGCTTTATGTGATTGGAGCAGGAAGAGAGTAACTATATGCCAGATCAGGAAGAAATCTGAACCTTCTGAATATTTAAAGTTGCACCATAATATCTGCCTGAGGGTTGCCACCTGCTCGTCTCCATGGAGAAAGCTTTCCCTGGAATGTTCCACACTATTGTCTGTCACAATAATTACTATATCAGATTATTGGTCAATATATGTTAGATGGAACTATCACTTTAGGGCTAAATATTTATATGTTTTTTGGGGAACTTTGTTATTTTGTTAAATCTGAGCTGTAGGAAGGTGTCATCTGCTTGTCTCCACGGAGATGTACGAGTTTAATGTCATACAGTGAACATTTCAGGCAAAGGGACAACATCTCCATAGATGGTGGCAGAACCTCAACCAGAAAAGTTACACAGTACACCTTTAAAGTTTAAATTTATTTGATTTTTAAATACCTTTTCATGTCAATGTCAAAATATAGGCCCTTTATAATATTTTTAGTGAGATACTATGAACACAACCCTTTAGTAAATATGGCACATTTGTAAAGTAGTTTTTAAGGCCCATATTACGCTGTGTTTTTATACATGTTATAATGCTGTTTCTTTATCAAAAACATACCAGGAGTTGCGTTTTGTTTCTTTCACACATGTTTAACACACAAACCCTGCATTTTTAAGCTTTTCTCTCAAACAGAAAACGCTCCGTTCCAACTTCATCATTGATGATTCTAGCCTGGAATTTCCCCTTTTTACTGAACAGTGTGGTAGAAAATGGTAGAAAATAACAATGTAAAAGTAATAACTGTACTGTAGTACTGTATTTACGTATATATTTTAGGTATCGGTACTTTATTTAAGTAGATTTTAAAAGGGGATACTTTTTACTTTTACTACTCTACATTTGAGAGCAGGTATCTGTACTTTCTACTCCACTGCAGTTTTAAACAGGACCGAAAACTAAAAGTATTTTTTATTAGTGTTTCAGACCTGCAGAAAAGGCTGAGCGGGTTATTTTTTTTAAAAAACATTCATAATTTGAGTAAACTATTTTAAAAACAGGTTTGATGACTGATTACGTTGTTTCTGTTGAACAAAATTCAGTGCAAACTTTATCAAAAACACTGCATTTGAAGCTTACTTTTTACTCTTCAAGTACATTTTTAAACAGGTACTTTAATACTTTGACTGAAGTAGATTTTTTCATGTGATAGTTTTTCTCAAGTGTATTTTTGCTCTGATATTTGTACTTTTTATCAAAACTGAGCACTTTCAGCACTGAAAGCGTAAAAGGTAGGTAGGTAACTTTCAAACTACCGCTTGATGAAATCAGAAGGTAGAACATAATTTTGAGCTTTGCAGATGTAAACAAACTAATACTACTAATAATAAAAAGATTAATCAAACATGTGTGATTGAAGCAAAACACAACTCCAGGTCTGATTTTGAGGAAGTAACAACATAATAACATGGCTTAAAATGCACAAGAGTTGATTTTATGTAATATAGGACCTTTACAATATAACTTTAGTTTGATTGAAGAATGATGACTACTATATTTTTAATGATACAGCATTACTTGAATCTTACATTTTCAAGACCATTAAGACTTAATTGTGGCGTATTGTAAACTTTGTAACACTACAGTCTAGGTCCACATGTGGGTAGCCATTTTTTTTAAACAGTAAAATTAGTATATACGCAATTATATTTCATGTATCACCAATTAGCATATTTGCGTAATTTGTACCTTAATATTGTGTCTGGATGAAAGCTTTAGTAAAGTAACCAAATGTAAAACTGTTATGAATAGTTAAACCTAGGGGGTGCTGTAGGAAATGTATTGAACCTAAAAAACACTTTTCACATAAAGAAAATTGCTCTGGTTTTCTCAAAGTAAGGGTGTACTATGTAACTTTTCTGGTATCGTCCACCTGCTTGAGTGCATGGAAATGATATTGCTTTGCCAGGAATGTTCCACAGTATAGCATTAAACATCTATCTACAGCCATGGCGACAAGCAGGTGATGCCACCAACAAGTTGCCGATCAGATCCATGGAGAGGCGACCCACTACCAGTAAGAATGCATGTATTTCAGCAATAAAAACACCTGATATTGAGTAAATGCAAGATAGATAATGTTTAAATACAAGGCATAACATTAAGATCTCCATGGAGACAAGCCACCAGAAAAGTTACACAGTGCATCTTTAAAAAGAAAAATAATACTTAAGAAGCAGCTTGTATTTTAATAAATATTTGCCAACATGTGGACAGGACTATTAATCCCTGACATCGGAGCTAAGGCACAAATCTATACCTAAAAAAATAAACACTCAAACTAAGAAATGAAAAGGCAAAAATATCAAATAAGACAATAATGATGCTTTTTTTCCTGTTGTTTTAAGCACAAGTTTGCATCAGATGAAATGTTACAACTTTAACTGAATACATCGATGATTTCCTTGTTTGCGAATGCTACTTTACCTGACAAATAAATAAAGGTTGAAGCAGTGAATGAAGAGGCTACAGAGGAACAGTTTAAGGCCAGGGCTTTAGTCGCTCTCGCTGCCGGATTCACTGAGCTGCAGGTCGCTTTCTGCAACAAAAAGATAAGATGTGATAAGCAAGGCAACAAGACTACTGTAAAGTCTTAAAAATGTGAAAAATAGAACTAGTTCATTTAAAAAGGGTTTGCAGTAGTCCAGATTTAGAGAGGCCCATTTTTACAATATAAGTGTACTGGGGCAAGACATATGTAACTTACTTAACTGACTGTGTAACTTTTCAGGTGAAAGGTCAATTTCCAATCTAGTAACGATTGGTCAACTGCCACACAAGCTAATGGGTCAAATGCAGAGAACAAATCTCCTATTCATATTAGTAGGGTACTGTACTGCAGTACACTACTAAGTGTACTGTAAGGGTGCAAGATTATTCGTAATCTATTTGAAATTGGAATGTAATGGCAACAAAAAACACACTTATTAAGCCAACAGAATATAATTTTAAACACTGAATCATAGTACTTTCTTTTATATTGTGATCTTACATCTGTGTAATCCCTGAGTCGTCCAAGTAGGTTCCATATCTAATCTAATCTATGTGGTTTTATACTTGCTCAAGATCATTCTAAAGGTATTCAGTAAAGTTTTATTTCTGACCAATCTCACTTTTTTAGTATTGATACCTGCTCATGTTGTTTCTAGTTTTGACTCTTAGCTGATTTTCAATACTTTTGACCACCTTAAACCTTATTATTACAACAAATTGCAAATCTAAGAGCAATGATTGTTAGAAAAATCTCTATTAGATATTATTGCCAAAAACATTCAGTCATACTAAACTTACTTAGTGTATTGATGCTGGCTCCGCCGCTCTCCTGTGACCTGCTGGGTTGGTTCAGGAGGGGCATGCTGTGGTACCCGCTCTGTGTGCCCGGTGTACCCGCTGTCCCCTGTACGCCCTGGGTCAGAGAGGAGGAAGAGGAGGGGTTCTTATGCTCGTCGTCTTCATCACTACTGCTCGAGTCGTCACTGCTGGATGAAGAGGAGCCGTTTGAGGAGCTGTCACTGCTGCTGAGCTGGTCCATGCCCTGAGCCTCGGCCATCAGCTCTGCACCCGAGAGAGGGGATAGAGAGAGAAAATGGGATGAGAAGAGGGAGAAAGGAGAAAGGGAGAGGGGAGGATTTAGCATTTGTCTTCAAATTTAAAAATGTGTTCCAAAGCACATACTGTTTTATGCAATGTTTACATTATATTTATCAAACACTGTTTTTGATTCAAATGTATGTTTTCTTCTTAAAGCCCAGAAATATGTTTTCAAGATAAAAAAAGACCACACTTGTGCTCGATCTATCGTTTTTTTTTTCATAACCAACACTGACCGTTTTGACTCTAGAGAAACCAATGCCCAATGAGCTCTGACAATATTTTTTGCCAATAATTTAAACTACAAAATTTTACTACAAACTCACTCACTACACAGACATTTTTTAAATCATAACCCCATGAGAGAGCAGTTTAGTCAGGTTTAGTGCATTATCACCACACTTAAGTGTTCAAATGACGCATTATGTCTATTCTTTAGGGAGCAGGTTGGCCAAAACGAAATATCGGCCTGTGCTGGAGACTTAAGGCTCATAGCAGATTCATTAAAAAGTGGAAATATTGGCCAACCGGTATAGTGGTCTCTACATATAACACCAAATTTGCTGACAAATAATTGGCTGAAGACCTGTTGATTTCAAAGTCAATAGCTGATAATTGACAAATTAAAATGCCCTCAACTTGATTAAAATTTTACTAACTGCACTGCCCTAACTTTAGCTTTGTTACGTCAGCTGTAGTTACCTCTCTCAATGTCATCCATGGGGGAGGTGGGGGAGGTCTTTCCTTTTGGGGGGCTCTTGGAGGCACTGGAGGGTTTGTTGTTCCTCATCTGAGTGAGTCGACTGGTCTGCTGCTCCAAACGAGACTGGATCTTACTACTTCCCTCCGCTCTGCATACAACACCACACAGGCATCACAATACAGGCTGGAGGATTTTAAAGTCGTTGTACATGATTTTTTTTCACTTAATTGTAATAGAGATAAATGTGTCTTGTGACATTGTATAAACAGGTCTTGAGATCAAAATACGTCCACTGTGTAATATCCGCAACTAATTATAGAGCATTGTTTGATAATCAGGAGGCACACAATGCTAGATGTTGTTAGCTTTATAGTGACAGTAAACTTCATTCTGGCCTTGGAGCTGTGAAAAGTACTAATAAATTTGATCTTGGTGAATTAAGATGCTCTGAATTCATAAGGTAAGTGAGGAATAATGTTTTAAAGACAGTAAAAATCAGGTACAAGGTAAAAATAATCACGGACACATGTCAAAAAAAAATTTTTTTATTTTTTATTGACACATGTTCGTTCATTAACCAACCTTGTTTTCTTGACGGCGATGTTGCTGCTGAGTTTCTCGAGTCTGTACTCTCCAGTGTCATGGTTCACGATAAGGATACATTCCTTCATGTACGGACGCTTGGACCCTTTAAACACTGTGACCGGAGCACTGGAGCCCTAAGGAAGAAATGGCTAATGTATTAATGTTTTATTAATTAAAAAGTACTCAAGATGTTTTCCAGGTAGGATCCATAGCAAAGAAGAAATTAAATTCTGTCAACTGGACAAAAGTCTGAAAGCACCCATTAGGGGCCTGAACGATTCTGCTACTATGACTTGCACAGTTCCCTTAGTGGAGTTCAATAGACCTAACTAACTAACAATCAAACAGAAACTGTAAACAAGTATGTGAGTTAGTTTTAGAGTAGGTTCAGTGAAGTTAGCTCCTCCCTTCAAGCAGATATAAGGCAGTTTGGATGAGCTGTGGAAAGTATTTGATTAAAAACTTTTGTCCAGTTGTCAGAATTGAATTTCTCCTATTTAAAAAGCAGCAAGGAATGAAATCTTGAGCATTTAGGGTATTAAAGTCCTGGTAAAAATGAAAATGCATTAAAATAATTTGTCAAAAAACAAACAAAAAAAATATAATGTTAGGATAAACAACTATGCGTAGCTATTTTGTATAACCACTGCTATAGATCATTATTGTACCGAGATCATGTGAAGAGAAGGACGATGATCAGAGCTGTGAGACTCATAGCTCTATGTCAAGACAAATGCATGATATTTCAATCTATCTAATACCAAAGAACAAGTACCTTTCAAGATACCCAAAGCGCTTTATAGAACATTATTCATTCATTCAACACTCAGTGGTGGTAAGGTACTACTGTACTACCACAGCTGCCTTGGGGCAGACTGACGGAAGTGAGGCTGCCATTGGCCCCTCCGACCACCATCTCTCACGCACATACCACTGTCATACTAGGCAATGTGGGTGATGTGTCTTACCTAAGGACACATCAACAGTTTTTGCCACTGGCACCCCACTGTGGCACCTGGAATTCACAGTGATCTCCCATCCAAATACTAACCAGGCCCGACCTTCCTTAGCTTCTGAGATCTGATGGGATCAGTCTTTGACAAGTCGGTATAGCCACAACATGATGTCATGACTTGTTACCCAAATAACGTGATTCAGAAAGATTGCGTATAAAACTCATTGTAAACATTGAGAGTCTGCATGGGAATGTCAACACAGACTCCTTGTTTCTAACATTTGATCAAGTAAATAATCTGGACTTTATTTCTGTTTCAAGTGTATTCTTTATCTTAGGAGAAACTAACAAACACAAGAGGCAAAGGCAGTTTTCCTCAACAATAACCTCTAAATAAAACAAAAATAGTGAGGTCAGAATTTTATCTGAGAAAGAGAACGATAGCCTACATACTTATTCCCAAACTGCATTTAATGAATGACAACATTTGGATCAGGGGATCTTCATCAGGTCATGGTTCCCTCTTTATGCCACTCCCATATAAACCTTCTGCCCACTGATTGTTCAATCCAAAAGTGAGCCATAGGAGATAAGATGTCCACACAACACAACACAACATATGACACACTATACAACATACATCATATAACATAAATCACACCCAAGTCCATCAATCATATGTTATCATCGGGCAAGTAAATCACAGCCAAAATAAATTTAACATTATAAGAAGTGTTTAATTTCATATTCTTAATTTAGGCCACTAGGGGCCAGCATTTTTAAGGAATAAATATAATAAGTTACTCTTTGTAGGAGCAGCCTGTTAATATTCTCTTCACCTGCTCTATTCCAATATATTTAAAAGGAGGAGATTGGGTGCCGCGCGTCTTTAAAATGGACAGCTTCATGGTTTTTTAGGTCTCCATTACTAATGTTGCTCCTATGCTCAGAAAATCGAGTCTTTAGGGCTCTAGATGTTTTACCTACATAACAAAGCCAACAGGGGCATTTTAAAAGGTAAATGACATTTTTGGTGAACAAGTAATTGTCCCTTTGATTTTCATAATCTTCCCTTTAGTGGGGTGTGCACTAGTTTTAAATTTGTAAGTAAAATTACATTGTCACTTTCTATGTTCACTGTAGGAACCTTGCACCAGTTATGTGCATATACTTATACCTTTTATGATACAGAATTTTAGCTAAACCTATTCATTTGTTGTAAATAATGCCAAAAATGTGGAAACTGGCTATCAAGTATCAGTAATTGTTCAAATGAGCATCAACATAATAAATTCCTCCAACTTGTTGTTTCTTTAGATCACTTACCTCTAAATTCGGTAATGTTATCGTGACTTGTTCTCCTTTGCCGACTTCAAGCTCCCCTTCACATGTTGTGTCGATAGAGGCTGGTTTGAAGTCATCTGATAAAATAAACACAAAGACTAGAGCCCAAATCAAAGACTGTAATGTCCGTTTCAGGCCACCAGATGACAGTAGCATCTTTGCGAAGACGATGCTAACACATGATAGCATTAGTCATTTGACAGCTGAATCCAAAAACAACCTTAAAATACAGTACAAAGTAGATCATTAAACGTATATTTAGAGATTACCCCTATTAGGAAGGGAAAAATAGATTAAAATCCGCTAAATACAATACTGCTGTTGTTAAAAGTGTGACAGCTGGCAAGTTTGTGTTAGCTCTTAATGCTAACTAGCTGCTACTATCATTCAGTGATTGAAAACTTACATCGCACTGTGTGGTAGGCACTTTTGGGATGTTTCTCGAAGGTCTCCCCTAATTTGAGCACATGTTCTTGGTTGTCAAAGTTAGAATATGCGGTCCCGTTCATTGTGGAAGTTGCATTAGCCCGAAAAACTTTGCTGTTCTTTTTTATCCGGTAATAACCATCTATGGTAGGCCGCTTAGTCCCGCCCCCACCGTGTTATCATTGGCCAATAGGAGCAGTATCTTAATCTGATTGGTTTACTATCTGCCAATCAAAGTGTATTGATGACAGAGCAAACATCAACATGGTGAAAATTTGTCATAAAATTAAATAATAAAAGACCATTTCAAAGAAGCTGAGTTGAAGTGGTTGCATGCAAAGTAGGCATTTCAAGTAGGCTGAATTGGGGTTCAGCTCACTTGACTATTATCTAATCTCTTTGTCTGGTATATTTCACTTCCACATTATGGAATTATGTACCTGTGACTATTATAAGAACAGGGAAGCTTACAAGAAAAATAAATAAATAAATGTAGTGTACAATAAAGTAAAATAATTCTTCACAAGAAACGGAGAGGTCATAAAAAGTCTGTTCTAATTGGGGTGATACTTGATCCATTTGTTCTAAATAGAGTAAAATTTGTCTCTTTGAATGTTTATTGTGTAAGTTAGCGTTCAAATTAGAAATTAGAAATCATTACCATAAAAAAGAAAAGTGGATCGATATTTTACTGTATGAAATAAAGCAGTCAAATACTTAATGCCCAGTGCATTAGTTAGTTAATCTCTTTCACACAAAAAAAACAAACAAATAAAAAAAAAACATTGCATTTGCAGTGTATTTCACCAAGCAAGAGACAAACACATTTACGGTAATGAATGTTTACTGTAACTAATTCACAAGGACATGTACATCAGCATATTAACATGACAAATGTGGTTTTTACATTTATGATCAGGAGTATTAGCAATGTAGTTTGTCTTGTTTAGTCCTTGTTTTATTTCATAAGAAACAAACAGACCTTCTGAGTTAGACGGGAATGCACCCAGGTTAGGACTTAGGTTTGTTCTCAGCCTGGTTGTCGGTGTTTGGAGCAGCAGGTACATCTGGAAGTTGTCCACAAGGTATCAGAGTTACATCATCATTTTTGCATGATTGAGCCTGTGTAACAGGGTAAAGCTCAGTAAAGTCTTTCCATGGGTCAATGAGCTGCTGCCAAACCATGACTTCTAGGGCAGGAGTAACCTTGTTCCCAGCTATATCATTCCCCATTAACATTGCAACACCAGGAATGAGTAGGGCAGGGAAAACAGCAACTGGGAAGGCGTCAGTCACGAGTTTAGACTGAACGTGTACAAAATGAACGGGGTGCAGACTGTAGCACATTTCAATTCTCCGCAGCACAGGCCCGTAACAACAAGAGGACTCCGGTGTGAAATGAAGAGAACTGGCCAATATTACAGTCTGTGACCCGCCAGTGTCTCTCAGAATGTGTATAGGAAAAAAAACAGCTTAAAGCAAGCGTCTGGAGCCAGGTGAACTCGAGGCGAAAGAGAGTGAAACTGAGTCTTCAGATGGGGTGGGTCCCTCCATGACCAGAACTACCTCCTCACCCTGATCCTGAAGGTAACAGTCCAGAAGACTCACAAAGGGGTTTTTTTCCGACCACATGGTGATCTGGAGCTGCTCTGGTCATCAGGACCACCTCAGCGGGGACAGAGTGCACCTCCTTTTTAATAGTCTAAAAGTGGAAAATGTAAACAAAACTGATTATTACACAATCAGAAGTAAATGCAGAGTAAAATGGTATTGCAAAACTATACAAATGAAAATATATCAACAAAAAAATGATGAACCTCTGAAGAAGTGGAATGAGAAGAATTTATACAAAAAAGGGCAAATGAACAAGACAAGACAACAATGAAAGACTGAAAAAGTTATTTTAAAATCAATTGTACTTTGTCTTCCAAATACAACTGTTACTAAAAAAAAAAAAAAAAAATATATATATATATAATATATATATATATATATATATATATATATATATATATATATATATATATATATATATATATATATATATATATTGGGCTATATGGTTATTATAGTTATCTAATTTTTACTGTCCATGGAAAAGTACTCACTGATTGATTGGATAGTTATTGCTAAATACTTAAGCCTATGTATTTTTTAAAGAAAGATTTGTGTTGTTCTCTGTTTTGTTTGTTTGATTTTTATTTTTTTTTTGGCATACCTTTGCTTGGTCTTCTGGCAGTGGTGCATTCATCTGACAGTAGATGAATAAGTCTTCAGATGGGGTGGGTCCCTCCATGACCAGAGCTACTTCCTCATCTTGATCCTGGAGGTACCAGTCCAGGAGACTCACAGAGGGGCTTTTTCCACCTGCATGGTGATCTGGAGCTGCTTTGGTCAATGGTCTAAAAGTGGAAAATGTAAACAGAACAGATTATTACACTATCAGAGGTAAAGGCAGAGTAAAATGGTATTGCAAAACTATACAAATGTCAAGAACAAAAAGTCACTTACCACTGGAGCAAAATCCACATCCTCTCTTTTGATGTGTTTAATGGCCACCTGAAAATCAGAAATAAGGACATCATTATATAATGGAGTAGAGTGAAAATGTGAAATTAAAGGTAAATTTATAGACAGTTTTTCTCTCATTTTCTTTGACAACATGAAATATTCTGTATTTAATAGTCTCCAGGGAAAAATTCCATGGAGACAGACCCTCTACATGAAAAATTACTTACTGCACTTTAAGTAATTTCAGCTAATATTAACTGCATTTGAATTTTTGCAAAAGATGAAAAGTATATATCTTACCGGTTGATGGTCTGATATCCGGACACCGGCAAACACAGAGCCAAATCCGCCCTCTCTGAGCTCCTCGGTCTGCTCATACTTCAGCTCAAAGTCACTCATTGAGTTCATTTTACAGAAGAGAAAAAAAATTATTAGTATGATCATCCTTTAGTGACAGCACTCTTCACACATTGGCAAGGGAGTAAAGTGTCTTGCCCAAGAACACGTTAAGAGTATTTAGTTTAGGCCTATGTGTACTTCTTTTTGTCTTAGTGTAGTCCTGGTTTGGTCCAAGATTTTTTTTCTGATTTAGTCCTGGTGTAGTCCTGGTCTAGTCCTGGTTTAGTGTTTACATTTAAATATACTCTAGATTCTCTGTATAGTTAGCGTGCAGCGTACCGTTAACTGTAGCGACTCTCTTCATTGCTTTCCTCAGCTTTCTCTTCTCTTTCTGCCACTGGTGTCTCCTTCTGCAATACTGAGGAACAAAGCATAACAATAAAAGAAGGTTACACACCCTCCCTTGAAAAAGTACTTTTCACTTTTGCACCTTTAATATCTATATCATATCTAAATAATGTTTGTATTTCTCTGCTCGTACCTCGCAACAGGACGCTCGCACTGAGTTTTCCTTTCACACAGCGTTTTGTGGTGAACTCTGTCGTCATCAGAGCGCACTAGTTCAAACAGCAGTGCCCCAATCTGCCACACCGAGGTAGGACCAGCTTGGTAATCTTTCTTAGTGAAGGCCTCGAGAGGAGAGAATTCTTCTATCCCTGAAAAACAAGGAGAAACACGTAGAAATAAGTAGGAAGGTTGATAGATTGCATAGTGCATCTTTAATGATGTTGTATTTGAACTACTACTGCTACTATTACTATTACGTTGGTTAGGAATATTACCGTTGTAATCATAGTAGGGCTCTGATTGGATGTTGCATCCACAGCCAAAGTCTATGATCCGGATCCTGGGACAGGATTCGTGGTCTGGACCAGGAGGTTTTTCATTTTAAGTATCTCTGTGGAAAACTCCTTTAGAGTGAAGGTCCAGCAGAGCGTCCACAACCTGACACATCAGCACCTGTCGGACAATAAGAAAAATGTGGATTAGAAAAGAAACAAAATGTCTTGAAATTGAAAATGAGGTCTAAACTAAGTCTTTATTCTTCAAGCCACAACTTCACCTCTGAAGAAGTGGAATGAGAAGAATTTATACAAAAAAGGGCAAATGAATAAAACGAAACAACAATGAAAGAGAAAAGACTGAAAGAGTTATTTTTAAAATCGACTGTACTTTGTCTTCCAAATACTACAGTTACTCTTAAAATATATATTGGGCTATATGGTTATTCGAGTTATCTCATTTTTACTGTCCATGCAAATGTACTCACTGATTGACTGGATAGTTATTGCTAAATATTTAAGCCAATATATATTGTTTTTTATGAACATTTTTGCTGTTTTTAAAAAATTTTTGTTAGTTTGATTTTTTTTTTGGCATACCTTTGCTTGGTCTTCTGGCAGTGGTGCATTCCTCTGACAGTAGATGAACAAGTCTGCAGATGGGGTGGGTCCCTCCATGACCAGAACTACTTCCTCACCTTGATCCTGAAGGTGAGAGTGCAGGAGACTCACAGAGGGTTTTTTTTCCAACCGCATGGTGATCTGGAGCTGCTCTGGTCATCAGGACCACCTCAGCGGGGACAGAATGCACCTCCTTTTTAATGGTCTAAAAGTGGAAAATGTAAACAAAACAGTTTATTACACAATCAGAAGTAAATGCAGAGTAAAATGGTATTGCAAAACTATACAAATGAAAATATATCAACAAAAAAATGTCACTTACCACTGGAGCAAAATCCACGTCCTCTCTTTTGGTGCATGCATTTTTACTGTGGCCACAGATCAGACTTGTAACTTGGTCTGGTGGTGTCCCCTTAGGCAATACTGAGGAACATAGCAGAACAATAACAGCAGTTTGCACACCTTCACTTTAAAAGGTACTCATAATGCACCCTTAATGTTTTGTCTAATTACAAATGAACACTAAATCATATCTAAATAATGTTTGTATTTCTCTGCTCGTACCTCGCAACAGGACGCTCGCACTGAGTTTTCCTTTCACACAGCGTTTTGTGGTGAACTCTGTCGTCATCAGAGCGCACTAGTTCAAACAGCAGTGCCCCAATCTGCCACACCGAGGTAGGACCAGCTTGGTAATCTTTCTTAGTGAAGGCCTCGGGAGGAGAGAATTCTTCTGTCCCTGAAAAACAAGGAGAAACACGTAGAAATAAGTAGGAAGGTTTGATAGATTGCATAGTGCATCTTTAATGATGTTGTATTTGAACTACTACTGCTAC